GGGAACGAGGCCCATCTGCTGGCCTGGGCACCGAAACTGAAGGCCCGTCAGGCAATGCGGGGCGGCCCCATTCTGCTTCCCGCTCTTCATTTCTCCTTTTCACTTACCTCCTACAATTCCAATCCCCCCTCCCCCATCCTTCTCCCTCTCTCCCCCATTTCTGGAAACTTTTGGGAGTTCCCACTCTGCTCCAGCACTCTAGGCATTTTGTGGCAATTCGAAGATTTGCCCTTGAAGTCTGCCCATGCCCTGCCCTGCCCCATCAGCTCCAGCAACAAGGAAGCTGCTGCTGACCCATCCATTGGGGCTGAGCCACCCTGCCTGCCCAGAAGGCAATGTCCACTGTGTGTGTAGGGGGAGTGGGGGTGGGGGTTGGGGAGAGGTAACAGCATAGGTCTGGAATCCTAATGGCTCCCAGCTGTGTGGCCTTGGGCGGGGTGTGGCTCTGTTCCCCAGTTTCCTCATCTGTAAACAGGGTGGTGAGACTATGAATGTGCACAGAGCACTCACCATGTGCCAGGCCCGTTTTAAGTGCTTTCCGCACGCGGACTCAGTCCTCACACCGTCCCTGTGGCACGATACCCACCACCTCCCACTGCACAGATGTGGACACAGACACAAAGACACAGGGGACCCTTCCCCAGGCCGCTGCACAGCAGGCAGGCCTGCACCGCACACTCTGGCTTCAGAGCCCAGGTTCACGATCACCACACGACGCTGGTCCCCGCGCCCCCGCCTCACAGTGCATGGAGGCGAAGTGAGCCGCGCCGAACACGGCTTATGCATTAGAAACGCACACAAGAGTGGCAGCAATGATTGCCGTTATTGTTTGCCTAACCATTTTCCCTTCCACGCAGGACTGTCAGCCTGCATGAGCCAGGGCGTGCACCCACTCTCGGCTTCACCGCGGTGGGGGTGGCCCGAATGCTCAGAAGTGCGCGTGACGGAGCCCGAGAGCGAGCCCCCGTTCCCAGCTCTGCTGCGCTTGTGTCAAAACGGCACAGCGAGGGCCACACTTCTTATGTCTCCAAGGCCTTGGCTGTTTGAGCACCTGGGCACCTCACCTGCCCACCTGCAGGGGGCACTGCTAACCAGCGCCCCCTTTCCCAGGCACAGGGCTGACAGGATGCTGCACGTGGGGCTTGTGGCTGCGGGAAGGGCCCTGGAAGGCGGTGTGGCCACTCCAGGGAGAAACCGCTTGCTTCCTGCCAGGAACTCCCGGGAACTCTATTCTTAGGGATCTTTCTCTTGCTTTTAACTCTGACATCTTCCAGAAGTTACCCGGCACAAACGCAACCCTGCCATAGCTGTAATTTACATGTCACGTCGCTTGCACAGAGCGCGGTCCACCCCCTCACCCTCTCCCGCCCACCCTGCAGAAATGGCTCCTGCCTCATTCCAGCCTCCATCCTTCTCCTAGCCCCCCCCCCCCCCCCCCCCCCCCCCGCCACCTCAGAGAGAAAAGTGAGGGGTGACATCGACAGAAGGGGGGACCCACTGGGAACTCTGGCTGCATCCAAGCTTTGGAACTTCCCAGTTCCAGGCTGGGCATCACTTCCACTCTCTGTCCACGTTGTCATGGCAACAGCCCATCTGTGGCCGAAAGCCCCAGTTTGCCGCCCAGCCGGTGAGTGCTCGGAGGGAGCCACTTACCGTGATGGTGTTCTCCTTGCTCTGCTTTTTGCCTGGTGACGAGGACCCCAGGTTCTGGAAGGAGAGATAAGAAGCATCGTCAGAGCTGTCCTCCATCCTGGACTCCCTCCCACTCCGGTCCCCTGAAGGCGGTGGGTTGGCGACAAGCGCGTGCTGCGAAGTTCAGGATGTTCAGCCTGCCGCTGACCCTAAGTCACCATCGTCTGGGAGAGGCGGCGGGAGTACCCCTGACCCCACTCTGTTCCTGTCTCCTGTGCCCTAGGCTGGAAGGCTGGGGGGAACCGCTCCAAACCAGGCGGCCTCCTCTTCTCTACGGTTTGGGAGTTAACCCTCAGCTGCCCTCTGCTGGTGAGCGGCTCCGTGTGCGCTTGCTGCCTGCACCTGCAGAATCCACTGGGGAGCAGAGGGTTAAGGCAGGAGGCAGGCTGCAGGCCACCACCTCCTGGCACAGGCACCCAGGATGCCGAGCAACAGCTTCATCTGAACCCGGGGCGGACACATCCAGCCCGATATCCATCCATCCGTGCCACGTGCCCTGGGGCCCAGCCATCTCCCTGTGCGTTCCAGCCCCGGAGCAGCACGGATCTCAGCTGAAAGCCGTCGGTCAGCCTTCACTCAGACTTTAAATTGCCTGTTGTCTTCCTGCTGCCGGCAACCAAACCACTATCCCAGTGCATCGGGCCCACGGTCCTCAGCAGCCCCCAGCCGAGGACGGTGCTGGGTCGGAACACGAGGAGGGCTGGCTGAAAACGCCTCAAGAGCCTAGGAGCCTAAAGGGGAGGTCAGCTCTGGGTCTCGCTGTCGCACTCCCAGCAGTGACATCAGGGAGTCGGTAGGGCCTCCGGGCAGGATGGCGGCGTCCACTCCCGTCCCGAGCCACGCCCGGCCTGGCGCAGGCTCACCCCGAGGCACGCGTGTGGCCTTCGTGGGTGGGAGAGTCCCTAACCTTTCTCTAGTGGAGCGTAAGGAAGCGGCTGTCAGATTTTACAGATGAAGTCCCAGAAAAGGCCTGGAGGGGCTTCTCCAGCAAGCCCCTGGAACCCCACAGCCTCCCACCCACGGGGCGGGAATGATTTCTGGGGGACAGAGAGGGGTCAGCCCGCCTCAGGGACATCTCTGCCTGAGTCCCTGCTCATGGTCTCCTCGGCTCCTTCCTCTCTCCCTCCCAGACCTACTCTGGCTGGTAACTAAAATCAACTAATAAAACCATCCACCAAGACGGTCCAGATAAAAAGGGCCTCACAGGTCATCGCTCTCACAGACAAGAAAGTGAACTCGCTCGCCTTCACATCCTGCCGAGTGATGTGACTTCTCTGAGCCTCAGTTTCACCATTTGTTACCGACGGTCCTCAGGCTTCGGGTGCATCAGAATCAACTGAGCCCCAGGCGTGTCTCCCAGGGCTCCCGGTCCCGCAGGCTCGGGTGGGCTGGCGCCTCCCTGGGAGGCGCCCGGTCTATGTTCTGTCACTATCAGGCGCCCCACTTCCGGCAGCTCCTCCAGCAGCCCTCCCGGGACCTGGGGCAACAGCATGCTGGGGACCAATCAGCTTCTGCCCATGTTTTTAACGCACCCACTCATCCAGCTCACCCACCCTGGACCCTCCAAGTTATCAGTTCTGCCCGCGGGCACTTGCCAAAATGGGGCTGCCCAGGAGGAAGGCATGGCGGGCACCCGGGTGCCATTCTCCAAGGAGAGGAGACAGGTGCAGGGCCTCTCGAGGGCTCATTCGTGCGAGGCACGGGCCAAGCAAACACAGCTGACCCTTAGCCAACACGGATTTGACGGCACGGGTCCGCCTGTACATAGATGTTACTTTTTTTCAATAAATATATGGTCTGCCCTCCTTATCCCAGGCCTCACATCCTCAGGTTCAAGCAGTACTTCTCAACTGTGGCTGGGAATCCACGACACAAATGCAGGCGAGCTGTGTGCATCCGCGGCCGAGGCTCTGTGCCACTTATTTTTTTTTAAATATTTTTTTAATTGATTTTTTACAGAGAAGAAGGGAGAGGGATAGAGAGTTAGAAACATCGATGAGAGAGATCGATCAGCTGCCTCCTGCATGCCCCCCAGTGGGGATGTGCCCGCAACCAAGGTACATGCCCTTGACCGGAATCGAACCTGGGACCCTTCAGTCCGCAGGTCGACTCTCTATCCACTGAGCCAAACCGGTCTGGCTCTGCGTCACTTTATAGAAGGGACTTGCATATGCGAGGGTTCTGGTAACCACTGGGCTCCTGGAACCAATCCCCCGCGGATACTGAGGGGCTGTAGATACTAGCAAGTTTGTAGGGAGTCAAAAGTTACATGTGGATTTTCGACTGTGCAGGGACTCAGTGCCCGGACCCTCCCCCACCCCTGCCCCTCACCGCACTGTCCAGGCTGAACTGTCCCTGAGAGAGAAGGCGGGAGGGGTCTCTGGGATGGGTTCTGCAGTTTGCAGGGTCTCCCTGTCGTCGACACTGGGTGCCCTCACTCCAGCCACCAGGAGGGCAGCAGCGCAGACTCCAGCAGCCCTGGCCACAGCCTGCAGTCGGTGTCGGTGTTGGTGCTGAGGGGATGGCGACGAGGAGGACGAGGGGTGCCCTGGCAGAGGGAGGAAGCTCTGCCACCCGGGCTTGCTTACGAAGCGGACACCAGGCTAAGCCTGTGACACCAGCAAGTTCGAGGTATCATCTGCGCTTTACAAATGGTGAAACGGAGGCTGGCAGAAACCAACTGCCTGTGCGGGGCCACAAGGCAAGTAAGTAGGGGACATCGGAAGCCAAGCCTGACTAACCCTTCCTCTGCCTCCCGCCATCTCTCCACCTGAGACCGGGTGCCATAGACCAGTTCCAGCATGTCATAATTTCAAGAGTTTCATCAAAAGGTTGATGAAACTTGGGGACTCAACAGGGTTGAGTCACACATGTAGTCACCTGTTGGGAATGGCTAAAGGCATTTCCCCAAACCTGAATAGGAAACTGATTGTGGCTGCCAGAGGGTTAAAGGGCATCTTAATCTACATGTTATTGCCTCCTACTGGCCAAACACCTGAACAGCCGTAGGCTATTCCCCCATTCTGACAATGCCTCTGTACCCTTTGAAACCTTACCCTTTGAAGTGTATTATCTCCACCTTGCCTTAGGACAAATTGTGTTAATAAAAGCGAGGGTCCTAGACAAGGAGGGACTCTTCAGTTCCTTTAGCTGAAGGTCCTCTGACCCCCAATGCCTTTCAAAATTATATCTCGTCTCCGGCATCTTTATTAGTCTCTGGATTCCTATGTCATCTACGCGCAGCCCCTTTTCCAGATTCCTGAACCCTTCTTGATGCTGGGACAAGAACCCCAGCAACTGGGACCCTCTTGTTCTCCAGGTGTCTGCAGGGGTCAAAGATCTCCATCGTCCACAAGCACTGATTTTGGAATCACTGTGTCCAAGGCTCTGTGGAATGAGGCTCACACAGAGGTCACCTCCTCCCATGACTTGGGCCAGGACGGGAGGGCAAGTACTGGGACGTGGGGCGGGGTTGGGCGCTCTAAGTGTGGGCGTCAGCACCTTCCCATCTCCGTCCTTAGCTGTGCATCCCAGCCAGTGCTGAGCGGGGTCTCAGGCTCTCTGAGGTGGTTTCAGGCTCTACATTTGTAGCCGATTACTATTGTCCCAATGTCATATACGTATACATAGAAACATGTTGTATACGTGCATCATATACACATACATGTAACATACACACGTGCGCGCGCGTGCGCACACACATCCACACACACCCACACCCACACACACACCCTGCAGCACTCCCCTGAAAGGGCCCAGAAGGAAAGACCCCTCAGTCACAGTGAGAACCCCTACTAGCTAAGGGTTGGTTTCTAAATGCTATTCCCACTAGAGGAACTCAGGCTCCTTGGGAAGTGGCCAATTCCAAAGGCCCGGGCCAGCCGGGAACACCTTATTCCAAAAATGATGTGATATAAATAAAAGGACACGGAGGCCAGCTTCCAGGGGCCCCCACAAGCCAAATTTGGGACAATCTGAACACGAATAGGAAAAATGACCACAGATGTTTAACTCCAAAAGCGGTGATGGGCGAGGGGAAGGCAGCAGTCTTCACAGAAAAATGTATAAAGAATTAGCAAATCACCATTTGCAAACCCCAACGTCAAAACAGACTCAGGCCTCGCTCACCAAGGATGCCCGGCGCACTCGGTGAGGACTGTCAGGGCCCGGGATCCCCACACGCTCTCAGCCTATCACCCCGCAGACGGTGACAAATCACCAACTAGGAAGGTGCCCCCGTGAAGGAGAAATGTGGCCATTGCCACACTGAGAGCTCACACTCAGCACCCCGCAGGTGTGACCTGGGAGCGTGCGGCTCCAGACGTACACCGTGAGAAGCACGCAGCAGGCCCCGGGTGGCATTGTGGCCAAGCGGCCGAGCCCGGGCCGAAGCATAAGAAAACAATTGGACCAAGAATGTAGGCCCTTCTACAAGACAACCGACCTGGACTCCTTCCCAAAAAAGGCAACGTGAGGAAAGACAAAAGAACAAATGTGTAGGAAGAATAAGAGAGACTAAAGTGATAATTCAGATAGAACATGCTTCCATGCAATGGAATACCATTTGGCTATAAAAAAAAAGATTGAAGGGCTGATACATGCTACAACATTAATGGACCGTGAAACGCTATGAGAGAAGCCAGACACAGAAGACCATATGGTATGATTCCATTTATGTGCAATCTCCAGAACAGGCAAACCTGTGGAGACAGGAAGTAGCTTAGTGGTTGCCTAAGGCTTAGGGAGGGGGGTCTTTTTGGGGTGATGAAATATTCTAAAATTCATCGTGATGGTGATGGTGCAACTTGGTGACTATTGCACACTAAAAACCAGTGCGTTGTACACTTAAAATGGGTGAATTACGTGATATGTAAATTATATCTCAATAACGATGTCTTAGAAAGAGAAACTAAAGAGATAGAGCAACCAATATATCCAGGCGTGAGACCTGAATGGGCCCTGGATGGTGGAGAAAAACAGGGATAAAAGCCATTTTGAGGACAGTGGTGAATTTG